TTTGCCCATCCTCCCCGTGAATGTGTCAGAATTCTTGGCAGCTGCTGCATAAGGTGACCCTGTCATAGCCCTATATTCAACACACTATGGTCAACCCATCTTAGGTGGTGGTGGAGGGGGGGGAGGGGGGAGAGAATTACTAGTATAAATGTATTTAAACACGCACCTCTTTATTGTACTATATGCTAATGAGCATCAGGGAGAATTAACCTGAAAAAAGCCACCCTAATGATATGATCATGCCCAAAGTAGGTATTGGCTCATTTAATACTGAAATATATAGTGAAATTGAAGGTATTTTTAGAAAATTAGCAGTTGATAATATATACCTAGAAGGAATGATTGCAGTCTTCTATGTCTCTCTAATTGTGGGTTTTGGTGCATAGGATGGAATGAGCAGGTACAAGGTGTACTAATGTATTAAAGCTAGTTTTTACATTTTGCAAAGTACGTGCTCAACAAATAGTGCAAAATTATGCAAATTATCACCGGAAAGTAAAGCATTGCATTTAGTGTTGAGTAAATCTGGTTGTATTGACGCAATGGTTTCTTCACCGTAGAACCTGGAAACTCTTTAAGATGGAATTTCAGAAGAACTTATGTCAAGTTGGCATCAAAGGAAACACTGTCTCCATTGGTGTGTTGGCATGGCAGGGATTGCGGTTTGGCAATGCCAACAGAGCAGGTAATAGTAATATTTCTCTGTTGAGTAGCAGGGCTCTGCGTCTAGATGACCGGGAAACTTGTCTCCAGGAAACGGGGTGAAAGCACTAAGCAAATTCTCAGAGTATTGGTTGACTACATGGCCCAATTAGTTCCAGTTGACACCATTTTTCTTTGATTACTTCTGCAATTAAACATGTATCCGAAAGGCAGAAGGTCCAGCATAGTGGTCAAGGTGACTGTACAAGAATTCTTTGAACAGTATCAAAATGATGAATTATACAGGAATAGGTCTATAGGTGGAAACGTGTAGAATGTTTAAGGCAGGAAATAATTGTATAGGCTAATTGTGTTTGAGTGTGACAATACAGCGTGTACATCTTAGCGTCTATAATGAAAGCCGGAGAGCCAGGAAAATTTACATCTATATAGTAGAGATATAGAGAGTCATTGGAATGTCTCTATAGACAACCAAGTAAGAGTGAAAGGAACATGTACATCTATATGAGACAGTTGTAGAAGGTTGAAGGGATATTCTATAAGTATTCAGAAATCGGAGTGTGACAATAATGAATCTAGACGTGGTCCAGTTATTCCAGGTGTTTGCATGTTTCTACAGAACAGATATAAAGATGGACAGCAATATATATACAAGATGTGAAAGTGCATCTTCATGTCTACACAATTTCATTTTCACCTTGGCCTTGATACAGATTTAGGAAACCATGCCAACCTGAAATTAAAGCAGGAATATTATATATAGATTTGAAATAGCCTTGATCTGCTGGGTGGCACTGGCTGTACTACGAATGTTAGTTGGACAAGACTCCATTCTCTCATTTTTTTTTCCTTCCCGAAAACTTGATGTGATCATTAATAACTAAAGTTTACAGCTGCGGCGAGCCGGCTAAAGGCTGTTTACTTGTGTCCTGAGCAGTGATAGATTGTAAGTCCCAGAGAAACAGAGCAGGAGAAAGAAAAGATGCAGAAAAGGATTCACAGCGAAACGGAAAGCAAGAGAGGCCGTGTGGGGGAGGAAGGGGAGAGGGATGTTGGGGTAGAAGATGGACCAAGGGAGAAGTTGAAATTTAAAAAAATAAATATATAATAATAATAATAATAACGATAAAACCTAAAATATAAACTGAAATAATATAAGTGAGCCAGGATCATAGTCTTGAGTAAGGATAACTCAGCAGATCTAGGAGCGTGTGAAGCATTACTAGGAGTTTAGATAGCCGAGCTTGAAGTCCGCAGCAGGCAGATTGGTAGTGGTTACATATTAACCCTGTTGATGCGAATCAAGACACAGCAAGTTCTTAAAGCATGGAACAGTGAATGTCTGAGATTCAGAGAAGATTGGACCCCTTCATTTTTCACGTAGGGATGGTAAATGGGGCCAAGCAAAGACATAGTTCTGGGGCCCTGTCTAACCACTGAGCCCTATGACACTGCCTAAAGGTCACCTTGTGGTTAATGTGTAGTCTGTTTGGAAATACCGTCTGTGACTCCTCCCTGTGCGCAGTAGACTTAATGAAGACCTACAACCAAACTTCAACACAGGCGGAATTGTTAGTGGATTTCAGGGTAGTAAACATTAAAAAGAGGCATGGACATAGTTGCAAAAAATAATGTAAAATTATCCAAGCAGGAAAGAAAATTCCAGCCTAGAGAGGGATATTTTCTATTCCAGCTTTTTCAGCCCAAATTTAGCACTTATTTAACAACAAGCCGTTTAGCAAATAAGGCCCTTTATATAAATTAAGAATGTTAGTTTTCACAGCCTATAATAAAATAAAAAGAGCATATGGAATAAAAACAACAACAAAAATATTTTAATTAAACTTTTTGTTTTCCATTTCAAGCGTCTTAACATTTTAATGAACCAATATGATTAGCCGAGCTCCTGATTCAAAGCAACAAATGGTGTTTATTTTCTCATTTGACTAAATGTCATTGTTTGTTTAAATATTTTACTTAATTGACTGGTTTAAAGGATGTATATTCATCATGATGTATCCCCCCCAGCCCCACACACACACACAAAGTGAAGGATTATGGGAGAGTGAAGGATTATGGGTTTAGATTTGTCGTAAATTTACAGGCAATACATTTTCTTGCTAAGCTGTTATTTTATGAGCTTATTCAACTTCTAGCAAAGCTAACGCAAACAGACAATCTGGAGAATGAAAACAAGGCAAAAAAAAGAGAGTTTAGGTTAAAAACCTAAATGGTCCAAATCATCGACAGAAGCCAGAGGATTTTACCTGGAGCCTTTCTGATGGTGTCAAACCTAATAAGTGAGATTTAGGAAAATGCACATGAAAATATATAGAGAGAGTCATAAGAGCATGGTAGGTTACAAGCACACGAGATGTGGGCAAAGTCGCGGCGCGTCTAGCAGGGAGGGTGTACTAAGGAAAGGGGGGATGCACTGCAGGGCTGCAAAAAAACACTGCTGGGAGAGATGCTCTGCATGACTAGCGGAGAGAAATACATTCTCCTGCAGAGAAGCAATGCACTGCAGGTATAAAATGAGTGCTGCATTACCTGGCTTGGCTTGTAGGGCAGGAGCAGAGACTGTGTGGCTTTAAAAAGAAGAGGGTGCTCTGCAGGGCGGCAGTTATGACTAAGTGAGTTAGGCAGTCACCTAAAGGACATGTTACAAGGGACACTGCACTGTGGCCAGCCTTGCTGTTAGATTGAACTGGGGGGCTTAAGGGAAGATAATTTGCTAAGATGGGCCCAGCAATTGCTGGGTTAAGGTCGGGTGCTAAATTTATATAGAGAGCAGCCGAAACCCTGAGGGGTGCCCTACAAGCCCTTTCTCTCATCCTTATTCTCAGAATCTTTCTGCTTTTTTTCCCCGTCGACTCTGCTCTATTGCCATCTCTCCCATATGCAACACAATTTCTCCCTCCCCATTCCTCTCGCCCTTTCCTCTCTCCCTCGCTCACTCCAATTATGCCTCCTAATGAGGGTTATTTTTCAAGGTCCTGCGTTTCCCGCACAGCTCCGATATTTTGCATCAAGGCCCATTTGTGATAGCTGGTCAATGTGCCTTCATGAACCTTGGACGCACTCTCTGTCCTCAAACCTCTGCAAGTGGGTTAACCACACCGCTGAATATGTCTTCCCATGTGCCCACAAACTCTGATACGGACCAAATAAATTGAGAATAAAACTCTGAAGCAAAGAGCCACTCAACATGCTCATCTATATCCCTATCAAGCACACATTTTTCTATTCCACTGTGCTTTTATTACACACACTGGTAATTAGAAGCTATTTTCTGAAGTGTAGCTATAGAGTTTTAATGTAAGAAACATTTTCAAGTGTAGGTGTGATGAAATTTCGGTGAAATGTAAATTTAGTAGGCCAAGATTTCCACGTGGCATATGTGTATGTTGTATCAGTTAGTTAGTTACACGTAGCTAAGATACTGTCATCAATGTACTGAGCATGTGCAGGAATGCAGGAACTGAAATCACACTCCTTTCTCCTTTGTTTCGGATGAGCCATGTGATCTGCCCATATAAGGAAATCCAAATCCTGTCCACTGATTGGTTAAGGGTATGTGCGGGTGGAGCTTAATGGGAGGAGTTATAGTTCTATAAAAAGCATGTACTCCATGTGTTCGGTCCTCAGACCTGTTTTGGACGTTAGTTCATCTGAGGACCGATCGGTATGTTAATAAAGACCTCTTACTTCCTGAAAACCTGCATCCATCTCTCTGTGTCTGGCTTCTGCAAGTTTACTCGGTTACATCTTGACAAAAAAAAACCCCCCAAAAAACAACAATTAGATAAACTCAGTACTCCATGGCATCACTAAAATTGCTATTATTAGCATGGTTAAAGGCAGAGAGGACACCAAAATGGTTTACCAGCCCCACAACACAACCCCTTCCATGAGGGAGGGCAGTGTGTAACAGTTCAAGTAAAAAAGCACAGTTCATACAAGATATAAATCAGAAAACAGCAACATAGGTAGAGGCAATCGTTTTATTTTGCTATTTTAATTAAATCCATGACAGGCGCATAGTCGCCATATGGGCAGGTGGAATTCCCCCCAAAACTTACCCCAAAAACACACTGACACTGATGTATGGGTCAATATGTCCACAGCTTTATTAATATTAATAACAAGAAATTCAAATCATTGCCCAGCCCCCATCCCGCCATATAACATCATATGTCGGGAAAATAAAAGGCAATGACCCATTATTTCTGTAAATATAAATAATGTCATCGACCATAATAACAAACATCATCAATAGAGATGTCGCGAACCGTCTGCGAACTTCTCGCGAACGGTTCGCGGCGAACTCCGGTCAGCTGACACATCCCGGCCAAGCTCCAGCAGACCCTCCCTCCCAGACCCTCCTACTTCCTGGACAGCATCCATGTTGAAGGCAGCTTCAACATGGATGCTGTCCAGGAGGTGGGAGGGTCTGGGAGGGAGGGTCTGCTGGAGATTGGCTGGGATGTGTCAGCTGACCGTAGTTCGCCACGAACAGTTCGTGGCGAACCGTTCGCGAGAAGTTTGCGGACGGTTCACGACATCTCTAATCATCAACATAATATAAGTGCCAAACTTTGTTAAATAACCACAGTAGGGGCATACCCAGATACCCCTACCACACACCAGGTTCTGAGCCACCACCGAGCTCGAAACCTACCAAGGTTCATAACGAACAGTTTAACCAAGCTCTTCACCAGCAGCCTAACTGCCCTATTCTATTTACACTACCCCAGAGCCTGTTTGTCCCCTAACTTTGCTCTCTCTAGCCCCGTGACCAAACGTGAGCTAACACCCCTTACCCTTACAAATGGGAGGGTGGGAGGAAAAACTGAGGCCAGGTAAGCAGATTAAAAGTGCTTGTCACTAAAATTGGGGGGGGAGGGACGGGGGGAGTTATGTCCTTCTTTCTCCTACATTATTTTTGGTATATAAACCATTATTTTCTTTTGTGTTTTGATAGGTCAGGCTTCGTAGGGTGTTCTAGCTCTCATTTTGGGTCTTTCGTATACAATTGGATCTACCTACATTGTGGTGTTCTGATATATATCTTGTGTGAGCCGTATTTTGTACAGATTGTGCATGTCAGTTTTTACGTCTCTCTCAGTATGTTTGTAATGAAGATGTATTTTTTTATAGAGTGCAGCACCTCCCTGGTTCCATATAGACAGAGATCTATTAACTTTGTTGGGGAACAGGGTTCCGAGAGAGCACCTTATTTTGGTTTAGAATTGTAGTATTTAAGTGTATTTATTGGAGTATTGACGGTTTGTGCATGTATGCCAATTATTTCTACCAGGTTGAGCTTATCAGGTCTGTATGGTGCCAGGGTGTGAATTGCTGGTTGCCCAGGGCATTCAGGATATAAGTATAGGTGCCAACACTCCTCATTTATAGCCCGCTGGCAACATTTTAAATCTTTTTCCTTTTAGTGTTGGAACCATCAGCCTTTAATAAAGTAAAGAGAAGAACCAACAATAAGGTGAGGGAATCTGCTGAGCGAGGCGTCCGCGTACAAATGCAAGAGATCACACATTATCAAGCAATCTTTATTTCATCAGATTATTCACCTGCTATTCTTCATAGGGCAGTGGACAGAACTGTGAAATACATGATGAGAGTCCTATAAAGCTGTAAAATCTGGAAAATCTATAGAGCTGCTAAACTGTGGGCAATAAAGGGTGGAGGGAGAGTACAGATTAAATAATAGGATGACATATCTACCAAGTGTCCCGATTCAGGAGGAACAGTCTGCATTTCAAGTCAAAATCCCTCTGTCACACTTTTCTATTGTAATGCCCCTCTAGTCTATAGTCTAGTACAGAACACCTATACTCAAAATAGTTAATCTTAAAAGCAAAAAAAGGGGTAAATTTACTAAACATCAAACTATAGTTCATAGAAAATGGAGTTGTAAAATTCAAGCAAAAATAAACAAGCTCTGACTAGAGTAAAGTTAGCTTATATGTCGCATATCAATTTTTAATTACATACACTTTGGTGTTTTGTGAATAAAGCACGTTACGTTTACAAATCAGTCTTATTAATTAATTTTGTTAAACTACCTTGTCATTTCCTAATGGCATTTTCCATTATATAAATGTCTTGGAGTAGCCCAACCCTACACCACACATGCAGTCGCACTCACCAAAATTAAAAGTGTCCGTCGGTTTTGAATTGTTAGACGTCATGGGATAAGGCGTCCTGCTATATGGACCATGGAGGTTTTAGGGGCAACGAGCGTTACAGGTTAATGAAAAGCAATTGTAGTGTGAATGTTACATATGGAACAGGCACTTCTGTGGTGGGTGGAGGGTTTTCTGAGAGCGTAATTTTCAATAAATTAGATCTCAACTACCTCCCAAAAAGGCACAGTATTGGCATTTTATGCAAATGAACTTACATTACCCATAATGATTTGGTGCAGTGAAATGTCATTAATATTTCACGTTTTCTGGGTTTTTTTTTATTTTTAATTAATAGTTCTTAAGCCTCCCGAACCTATCCTGCAGATATTGCTTTTCTGGAGTACCGTGTCCCAAGACAGCCCAATGACGAGAGGTGACAAAACAGAGCAAAGTGCTGTGTATCAGCCCAGGCCAGTGACAGGACGATGCCAGGATCAGCGACTGTGATTCCCTGCCTGTTGGTGCTGGTCTGCAGACAGAAGTCATTGTTTTGGGGACAATAGGATTTCAGTGCTGGCTCTGATGAGCAGAACCTCTGCTTGTTGGGATACATTGTATTTGCTGACTGAGCACTGAAAGGGCAAAATGACCCTGGCGTCTCGCAGAGGACGCACAAAAAGATTTGGGATGGAGGGGTTCTGTTCTTGTTTACCCTTCGTTCTCACCTGATAAAAAAAACAATTACATCATGGTTCATCATGGATCTTGCAATCCAGATTGACACTTTGTACATGTGGGCTGTCTGAAGGTAATGAGAGTTAGATAATATATTCAGGTCTGTATTGCTTGTTAATCTATGGAGAAATCTGATTGCCAGTTTAGAGTAATTTTTTCCCTTTTTATATTGTGCAGTCGGAAATTGCTTCAAGTTCAGTTTTTCATCTTCTTTTGGATCAACAACAGAATTAGAGATGTGTGAAAGGCTAAACTTGACAGTTGTGGAGTCTTTTTTTCATTCTTTATTGCTAGGTAACAATGAAACTATGCTCTGTTATGCCGCTGTATTGCTAGATACCACAAAACAACCTTTCCTGATTTGTAATGGGTGCCGATTATTCTTCGAAGAGTGAAACTAGACCCATCTGCTCGTAACATATGAGATTCTCCCTGTATCTGGCATTTCACTGCAGACTGGGGATCTAGGAGGCTAATTAATTGGTCACATGACACCCTGCAATCCACACTGTATAAAAAGAATGGAGGATCGGCTGGGCATTCCTGCTCTGTGCCACTTTGTCACCCTGTGCTGAAAGCGAGGACATACATGACAAGGCATAGGTTTCCTTACCTCTCGGTGTCACACTGGATTGGTTGAGACAGGCTTCAAGGGCTCTATGTCCCTCCATGCTGTTTCGCCATGTCAAAGCACATTGTAAGGGACACATGCAATCATCTACATCTTATCTGTGCATGTGTCACAGTGTCACTTTGCATTGTACGAAACAGACTCACCGAGCTTCCTCCTGTCACCACAGAATAGGAGGAAGATTGGATGAGCCATGAAGCAGATTCTTCTGCTTGTCAGGTATCTTATGGGATGTGTCGTCCCTCCTTTCCCTCCCATCTTCATACAGCACGTTTCTTGTCATGGTGACCATGGCGTCTTGGTTCTAGGGACAGAAGTTTTATATAGAACACACGTGAGAACCTTAAGCTGCCACCAAGACATTCTACAACCTTGTTGGACTGGACCCCACTTCTTCTCTAATCTCAAACATACATAGAAAAGTAGTAAATGGACATAATTTGATAGTGAAAAAAACTTTAAATAAATTAGAGAAGTTGAGAAGTGGCACCTCTCCCTTTGGGTGGCCTACTATTAAGAAGCTGTCCTATTAATCATCTGTTTAAAGGCCTGGCAGTGAGCTTTTACCTACATGTTGGCGCCTTGGTCAACAGCCACATTGCACATTGGAGAAAGGGACTCTTGTCTGCATGGAATGCCAAGGATGTGGGTATCCTAAAGCATCACTGCTGCTGGTAAGTGTGTGGGTTTTTGTCAATGCGGAGCCTGACGTGGCAGCCGAGATAATTGCGTGGCACGGAATCCTAAACTAGTCCCACGCACTCAGCAATGTAGACAATTCATACATTTCCCAGAGAAAATGTTAGCCTGCCACAAGTCATCCAAGAACCCTCAGACCTTAGTTAAACCCTTCAAACACCTGAAACCCTTAATATAAGAGATTAACTATTTGACAACGGTGCTCTCCTCTGGCTCGTGAGCTCATTGAAAATTGACTTTTCTACTGCCAGCCAGAATGTTTGCAAATGAAACGAAACACATCTGATAGAGCATGTGACCAGGATACCAAAACGCCAGCAATGTCAGGGTTACTTTGAGGAAAGCGACGTAATGAATAACTCCCATTCAGCATTGTCCTTTAACTCGTTTGCTTACGAAAAGAAAAGGTCGGCGATACACTGGTTCACAGGCCCTGCTCCCAACAAAAGACATTTAAAAATACTCCGAGACAGTACTGACTGATCTCAGAAAACTCCAATTCAGAAGTGAATAAAATTATTATTTTTTCCTTCATATTTGCAATTTGATAGAATATCAAGTGCGAGCATTAACATAACCTTAACCTTAAGCAAAAACAAACCAAAAAAAGGAACAAAACACAAATGATAAAAAAAAAAAACAACAAATCGTTAAACAAGCAAACAAAGAAAAATAAAACAGACCTTTTTTCCATCCAACACTAATTGAGAAGTTTTTCCAAAAGAGAAATCACCTGCAGGGGTAAAGTACACCTCTGACATCACGTCTCCAAGAAGAAAGCGCAGTTCTCACTTTCTGACTGCTGTGAACCGCATGCCTGCCATTTACAAAAGCAGTCGCAGCCATGCTCATAAATAGCGCAAAGGGAGTGAAAGTCCTGATCAAGCAAGGTTACTATGGAAAATATACCCCATTGTTAAATAAACCCCCATTTGTTTAGTCGGTTGAAATCCATTGCCAAAATAAATAAAATATTGATGTTGATGTTGACTGAAAACACGGGGCATTCACGTTGCATATTATATTCCAAATGTACAAATTAAGAAGACGAAAAAGAAAATAACGACTCTTCAAGCTGCAAGACAGACAGACAAACTGACAGATTGAACAACGATGGGATTTTGATAATAAAATTGCAAGACTCTGTAATACACAGTGATTGAAAATTTAAATTCGATGCCTTGATAGCAATTGCTGGATTTGAGTCATTTTCAGTATTATCTTCGTATCCCTAGATACATTATTACAGAAAATACAAAGATTAAAATAAGTAGAACTAAATTATACAGGAAGGATTTCCTTAATAGTCTATGTGAACGGCCGTATTATTTTCTACATATGTACTACAACTCCCAAAATAGCAAACCGGCGTTTAAACATGGCTGTAGCCAGACTTACATACATTAAGGGACACTCCAGGGTCGTAATGCACTTTAGCTTGCTGAAGTGCTTTATGTGTGAAGAACGTGTCATCTTTTTTCCCCAATATACAAAAAAATGCAGATTTCAATAGAAATTGGCACATTTTTAAATAAACTTTGTAACACCCCCCTAGCTGTCAATCACGCAGACTTCATGGTTGTTTGGCTCAAAAAAACTAAACTCAAGAGTCAGCAAATGCCCAGAGCACCTGCCTTGCAAAGACTTCTCATTGAGCTGCATTGAGAAGTCTGTGATTGGCCAGCCACAGAAAGACTGGGCGGTGTTACAAGGGGAGGGCTTTCAAAGGCAGCAGTCAAGAGATGTGCAGCTGTTGCAAGTTATTTTTAAGATATATCCTCAATGAAAAAAGTATAATTAGATGCATATATGTTTTCATTTTAGGTATATCTTTTAAACAGTGATTACTGTTTTATGTAAGCATTGGATTGTTTTTTTTGATGGAAGCAGTAGGTAATGAAGAATAGGACAGTCGGTGGCAGGAGTAGCCATATGAAAGACTGTTGTAGAACCTGGGTCACTTGTAAAGCTTTGCTAGGAGTTGAGTTTTTTGACAGCTTAAGAGGTGGTTACCCTTTTTGGCTTATTCTGGTCTACAGAACACATTTATTTGTGGTCAAGTCTGCTGAGCACACAATGAATATAAACAATTAATGTGGAACTCACCAAGATAGCCACAATTACAGAGTGCGGGAAGTCCTAGACAGTAATAAAAGCAAATCCCAGTACTCTAGGGAACTTGTGCTCTAAAAGGATTGTCAATCACTCCTCAACAGGAGTAATAATATGTAAACATATGTATACATGCTGCGTACATTATCCCAGAGGAAGACTCAGATAGGAGTGACCATGAACTCAGCATTCGTCTACCTGCTCAACAGCGACTTCAGACTGGTCCTGTGCAGTGAGCTTTCAGGGCCGTGCTATAAAGCATTCTCTAGGTATTCTCCTGATGAAGGGATTGTGCCCAGTGCCAAAAGCCATTTTGTGTGGTCTTCTAGTCTACTGTAGAATGTGGAGATTTTAAATAGGTGTGTCATATTTAGGAAGGGGAACCAAATAGGGATATTTAGGGAAATCCCTAAAGATATAAGCAGAACACAATTCAGAAACAGTTATTTACTAAAAGATGAAAATGGACGTTTACAAGGGTGAGTTATGAAGAAGAGAGTGAGGAGACATTCTGTGATATCTAAATTGAGGGATGCTCTGTGAGATATAAGTGGGGTTCATTTAAAGCGGCACAAGTACATTAGATTTCATACGATTTCTTTACCTCAAAAATATCAAGCCATGTATGAATTCTAGAATTCTAAGCTAGACATTTGAATTTCTTTCTTCAGATAATACAATCTACTTGGCATTCACAGAGATCTGCTGTGCGCTAGAAATATAGGTGAACACTCACTGACCTGGCCCTTTTACAGATTTGAGTCGGTAAAGCCTCGGTGCACATAGACAGATACGCGGCCTTGCCTCACTGCTTCCAACTAATAGGGACATATGTATGTGTATGGAGGTCTGAAGCGACCTATTGATCAAACCTAAGCTGTTTCAATGAGTTTATAGTAAAGAATATTCTATACAGACAATGCTACACAGACCGTAAAATGTAATAAACTGAGGGGTCAACGAAACAATAAGCTCTAGAAAGCAAGACTCTGCTATAGGCTCTCATTCATCTTAATTCTTGATTTCAATTAACAGTAAGGGATCTGAGTTATGTCATATCTTGGTGTTCATGGTCATTGTGTCTTCAGAAAGTGTTCTATCGGAGGCACAGATCAATCTTCTTTCCTCCATGAGGACACCTCTGATAAACTAGCAGATGACCTTGGAATGGTCAAGGCATCGACAACATGCCCTTAGATTCAATTACTGTGACTATTCCAAAAAAAACAAGATTCGGAGGGGGAAGGGGGGAGAAAGATTTATCAGGGTTTAAACTGGTGTTATTTTGTGGCAAAGTTCTAAATAATGAGCAATCCCCATGGAAACAAAAAGCAGTTTGACCCAGAATTTCACCACTATTGCTGTTAAATCCCAAATCTTTTCCAAGCCAACTGCTTAACTACTCAACTACTCAAATTCCTCCCTCCTCTCCCGAAGGCTCCCGTGATCCAGAGCCTCATTATACATTAAATTCATAGATACCACTGTGTACCTCAACACCCATAAAGAACAAAGCTCATTTAAAAGAAACATACTGAATGCATTTGTTTGTTTTCTTACTAAACCTCATTAGGAATAATACAGTCTGCATTAAATTACAGATCCTTCATTCTGATAACCTGCAGGAAGCCAAAAGCACTTGTAAAAACCTTTATTTTACAGCGCAGAAATCAAGAGGAAAATGACTATCAATGCAGACAACATAAGAATGTCGGTTAGAACATAATGGTGCTATAAGTTATTACATCCTGCCATTACAATGAACCAGTGGACGGATTCTAAAATTATATAAATACTCTTATAAAACACATAATAGATCAGACCATGTGAAATACGTTTATATAAAATAGTGAGAAAATGTGTATATCTTGGGGTCAAACTCACATGTACCAGAACCCCATCTACCCTGGCTTTGGATATAAATGGATCTGCAGGGAGAAAAAGGAACCTAATGGTGCAATACCAATGTATATGTTTATTAAAAACAGTGCTAAAAGCAGCTTACTTGAGATCGTGGTGAGTTTCACAGTCAGGCTTGATTTATTTATAAATGCTGAGCAATAGCAATTCCTTCTGGGTTCTAGTCACTCAGGGTTCTCAGCAGCTCCTGACGTCCTGTGTGACGCGTTTCGCCACCTTCCTTGTGCTTAATCTGACCGGCTGGATCCTCTTTCTCTCCATATTCTCCCTGCTTAAGATCCAAGTTCATGACGCTGGGTGGCTGGAGGTCCTGGATACTGTGGACTCTCCCGCTCTCAAGTGCAGCCATTTATACCCAGAGCCAGGGTTAATAGGGCTCTGGTACATGTGAGTTGGACCACCAGATATACACATTTTCTCACTATTATATACACACACACACACACACACACACACACACACATTTATTTTAGATGGTCTGAACTTTTATTTGTTGAGATGATGATTTACGGAATTGATTTTGAAGAAGGATTTTGTTAAGTATCATTCTAAGTGCACCACTTTTTTTTAGTATTGAATTTCTGTTTGTTACTTTGGTGTGAGTGCTGCTGGTGTAGAACACATATAAACATTTATTTTAGTGTGTTTGAGTATATACATATATTGTTGTATTGATCTAAGTCCTTTTTCCACTGCTTATTCGCATATTTGGATTTTAAAATTAGATGCTTTTCGGTTCACTTTCTTGTGGACTTGTAGGGAAGTAGCCCAGAGGGCCTGTAAGGACTTGGAATGAGTGTGAGAAGAGTGTTGACCTTAAAAGTATATGGAAACTTGGCTATTCTGGCTGTGGAAGTCAGTGGAATTTTTTTTTAAGTGGCTGGTGAAAAACGGCACTTCTACAAAAAAAAAAAAAAAAAATTAAATATGACAGACGCATTTTCACAGAGAAAAAGTAACCAAAAGAGTGAAAAACTGTCAGAGCAGTAAAATAAATAAATATTTATATATTATATACTTTTTAATACATAAAGATAGATATCTCTTTTACTGATATTCCTTTTTCCCCTCGATTGGTCACTTCTCACTTAATCTGTTAGTAATATGAATCAATATCATTTAATGATTGTCCACTACCACCAATCATCTTTTTTCAAATGAATTATCTTTTATTCATTAGAATTCAGAATTACAAATAAAACAAACGTACTCAGCTATTGCGCATTATTTTTGTTTCGCGATACGGCTACTTTTGGGCTTGGAGTTTGGGAATTCGAGTGAGAACCCAATCAGCCAAAATTCATACAAAGTTTTCATTTGTAATTAAACAAATCACGTCTAATAAGTACTTATTGAATATTAGCTCTTTGATGACTCTTGACTAGAGATGTCGTGAACCGTCCGCGAACTTCTCGCGAACGGTTCGCCGCGGTTCGCCACGAGCTGTTCGCGGCGATCTCCGGTCAGCTGACACGTCCCGGCCAATCTCCAGCAGACCCTCTCTCCCAGACCCTCTTACTTCCTGGACAGCATCCATGTTTCAGCATCTATGCATCCATGTTTCAACATGGATGCTGTCCAGGAAGTAGGAGGGTCTGGGAGGGAGGGTCTGCTGGAGATTGGCCGGGACGTGTCAGCTGACCGGAGTTCGCCGCGAACAGCTCATGGCGAACCATGGCGAACCGTTTGCGACATCTCTACTTCTGACATGTCCAAAGCGTGTCTATGTCAGAGCAGGGTTTGTCTAACCCTTTAATATAAAGGGATTGAATATCCAAACGTGTTCCATCCAGCTTTAGATACTTTATACACCAAAGGAAATGGAAAGTTAAACTACTGAACTTTATTAAATTTAGAATGTCATTTACTTCAGTGAGCCATTATTTGTAGGTATGATGCTAGAATTAAATTGTCAGCTCCACAGGGCCAATGGCTATAATAGCCATATATAAATATATAATAGATGTAACAGAAAGAAAATACTCTGCTAGGAGCATTTGAAGGTGAGAACTCAATGGAGCAGAGACCTTGTACAGCGATTCTGACACTTTAAACAAGCGGTTCTTAGGGATCAGAACAGACAGGGAGATATAGGGAACATTTGGTTTTGGCCCAATTCCAGCATAGTGCCTAAAGGGACATTTACCTCTTAACTCACTCTATTTGCCCAGAGGGAGAATATGTGTTTAGGGTGTGGAAACGGTGCAAATCAGCAATTTAATGCAATGGAGACACAGTGAAATCGAGAGTGAATTTTTAACGTTCTAATTTCTGGGGAGAAGGGGGGGGGGGGAGAATTTAAAGCAATGTCCTTTAGTATAAGCAAAAGTGAAAACAGAAAAGAAAACGAAAAAAAAAACAAAGTATTATATAATAAAATAAAGAATAAAATGGCATGTACTTATAAAGACAAATTTCCACTAGATCCTCCGCATGGGAGCCGGCATGTCTCTTGTTGAAGGCACGCTGCCCTGGTCAGAGACAGTAGTGAGAGACTTGTAATATGCAATCATAGTAATTTCTCAGGTGATTGGCCGAAACACGTGTGAAACTGCTTACGGACGCCTGCAGCCCGATGAGCGGTCACACAGCTGTCAATGTAAGGCAGCACAGCATGCTTCTGCAAAGATACACCTCATTTATACACCTATGACAAGACTGGGCTTATAACTGTTGCTTCCATCTTACAGCCAGAAGTTTTAAAGAAAAAAAAAGTTTAAATGTCTCCATCCGGCGGCTGGAGACATTTAAATGGATATTAATGGAATTATTTATTTAAAAAATGAATTGCTAAAATGAAAAGTAAAATTTAAATTTTTAGGCCAAATTAGCTTAAAGGACCACAATAGGCACCCAGACCACTTCAGCTTAATAAAGTGGTCTGGGTGCCTGGTCCAGCTAGGGTTAACCCTTTTTTTTTTTATAAACATAGCAGTTTCAGAGAAACTGCTATGTTTACACTGAGGGTTAATTCAGCCTCTAGTGGCTGTCAATGAGACAGCCGCTAGAGGAGCTTGCGTGCTTCTCACTGTGAAAATCACAGTGAGAAGACACCAGCGTCCATAGGAAAGCATTGTAAATGCTTTCCTATGAACTGGCTGAAAGCGCACGGCTCCTGTCGCGCATGCGCATTCAGTCGATGATGTCGCTAGGAAGGAGGAGAGCTCCCCGCTCGGCGCTGGAGAAAGGTAAGATTTTAACCCCTTCTTCTCTCCAGAGCCCGGTGGGGGCACCCCAGGGCACAAGTATGTTTTCCTGGCACTATAGTGGTCCTTTAACTGAAAATATTCTCCCAGTTGTTACAGCTCCATTGTGGTTTATCTATAGGATACATGTCTATTTTTTTATGAACCCAGAGAAATCATTTTTATTGTTGGGGACATTAAATCAGTTAAAGGGAGACTCTAGGCACCATAACTATTTCAAAGCATTGACTGGCACCATCCGATTGTTCAACGTTAAACAGATATTGAATTGTTTAATAGTAATTGTGGGTCTCTGGACTTCCATGGCTCTGTCCACAAAGGAAGAATGGCTAAGGTGGAATGTAACTTGGCATTAGTCATAGCAATTAATGTTAGGGTGACCGCGCTCAGCTGATGCCCTCAGCCTATAATTGCCACCAGTCGCTGGAGAGGCTAATTCTTCTGCATCCAACCCGAGCAGCAATAAGAGTCTGGACCGCGGACTCTCACGGAGCCTCATTCAGTGTTAAGCCATTGAATAAAGGTTTGACACTGAACAAACACTATATCCAATCTAATGATATGAAATAGTTATGGTGCTTAGGGGGTCCCTTTAACTAACTGATAAAAGCTACACAGTTATGGTTACATCAGACCCCCAATATCTTTATGATGTGATGGTGGGAGTTTAGCCATGCCAAACTATCTCCTATCCGTCCTGAGCATTCCCAGGGATCTTAAATTCAAAATTTAAATATTTTATAAATCATTATTATATGCATGTGAATAATAAGAATTCCTTGTAGTTAAAACTGCGCAACCCACGCACAAAATGTAAATTTACCACAAACACTGATCTTATTTTGGCAATTTGGCTAATCACGAGTCCACATGAAATCTGGATCCTCTTTTGAAAGACAGAGGATGTAAAACAGTCCAGATTAATAGCAAAGTGAAACTGAGCTCCTAGCAGGTGCAAGTGAGACAGGTGACAGTACAGGAGAGGTCTGCTACCCATCTGTCTGTTCTTTGTGCCCTTAGTTGGAATTAAATTACAGGGGGCGCTTGGGACAAAGTGTGTTTATGCTGAAATACAGGGAGCGTATTTGTTTTCTTGCACCAGATCCTTAATAGTGGCTGATGCTGTTTGGAGGTTTTTGTGGGGTGAGAAGGAATGCAAGGGTTGGCAGTGGGGTGAGGTGGCGCCTGCCGTGCATACCAAAAACCGAGAATTCAGCACTTACACTGAGTGGACGGCCAGAATCTTTATTCAAAGCCCACACGCTGGCTGCTAGCTTGCTAACCCTATCATTGCCAGATACCCAGATAGAATTCTCCTGGCTAAAGACTTTTTAGAAGTGATATATTCTAAGTGACAAAAAGAAAACCCAAAGCAATGACAAAACAAAAAAAATAAACAAAAAAATAATTCCTAAAAATAGCTAAAAATCTAAAGTAAAAAAGCAAAAATAGGTCTGCAAATTCTAGAATAAGCAGAAACCAGCCCTGCGTCAACATACATGATTCCATTAATCTTCTATCAACCAAGAAATCAGCAGTGGATCACCTCAATCATTCCCACTAATCTCTACCATGCCCCTAAGATGCACACATACTATCCCTCTAATTGGTTCCATAACATTTCGACTGCCATAAGACTGCAGAGAAGTCTGCAGAGCATACCGTCGATGAATTCTGTCAATTCTATAACTACAGTTGACCTTTCTAACATCACCCCAATTATACTCGTCCAATGCCCTAACCACCGATGACTGGTAGAACTTCAATCCATCTGGATTAAGAGACATTAAACAAACCACTGCTGATAAAGTGATATCTTTAGGATAAAATGTATCAATGTTCTACTTTAAACTGAATCAATCTTTCAACCTCTGAGTATACTCAAGAAGTTAAATAAAAAATACACAACAAAAGAAAGAATCGTTAGCCTCGTTAGGATGTTAATTATACAAAACAAAAAGTTCTGTTATTTCAGTTTTAGAGGATTTGTACGAAAAAAGAAAAGAAAAATCTTTTATATTTTCATTCGGAACAATTAAGTTATTCTCTGGAAAACCTGCATACAGCATTTATCCCAGTTATCTCCTTTTTCTACCGTTATGCCACCAGGTTTCTAATTGATCTGTAACTACCCAATTATCTCACGGAGAAACAGAAAGGGTTAGCACAGAAGGTAAATTCTGTTCTAGGTGACTGAGGGTTAATCGCTATGTAAATGAGACATTACTGCAAGCGGAGGTAGAGAAATAAGACAAACAGTCCTCCCCCTCTCTGTCCATGGCTGGAGAGTTTTGGGATCACAAGCCAAGCGTATGAAATTGGATACTTAACTCATTGATAGCATGAAATGATAGCGATAAAGACAGACACATCGTAAACACACACACACACACACACACACACACAAACAAGAACATACTGATAGACAAAATAGATAGATAGGTAGATACTTTTTTGTTCACTTGAATTATTTTCAGATAATTAATTTTGCTCTTTGGCACAAAATATGGAAAGTGTGCAATTGGTAAATGTCACTATTTGAGAGCTGGGCTCTCACTAATGATAAAATAAGGGATGGTTCAGTAAGTGACATGCTTAGCTAGAAACTAAAATAACTCAAAATATTAATCAGGGTGAGGCTCATTTTTTTTTTGTTTACATCAATAAGGAGCCTCTGACTGCTCCCTGTCAGCCATTCCTGGTGCACAATACCCGATCCAACCTGACATAACGTCTTGGAGATATAATAGGATTCAATGTTGCTCCCTGTAACAATTTAATATAACTCCCACCATTGTTCCAAAACATTGCCTGTAACACCTCAAATTGCTCTCGCCAAGCACTCCCTGTAACACCTGGAATTTTCCACAACAACTCCTTATATAATTATTAAAAACTCTCCATTAAGCCTTGCGTTTCCTCTTACAGCAACGCCTAGGTGGCCCATTTAAACCATTTATTAAAAATACATTAACTGTACCCTAGAGGTTGCATTTGTAATTATATATTTTATTTATTTTTTTAAAGAGCGTATCTAGACCTGTTATCTCACTATACATCTATTACATGAAAACGGAAGCTTCAAGACATTACGAGATCAGACATGTTGACAGCCTGGATAATTCTTTACCGGCTGGCAAAAATAATTAAAAAATAAGCTTAGGGTTTATAATAAACTCATGTAAGTGCAAATATAGCTGGTATATTTTTTTTTCCAGAAAAGATGGCAAATCTACTTAGAGCAAAAGAAGAATCGGTATAATTTACATATATGTGAAAATTTTTAATTTGGACAGACAGTAAAAAATACTTAAACATTTCTCTTTAAACTCTTTGGATTTTCTAAAGAGGGCCTTGATAATGAAGTGGCTAGTTGATCCTTTGTCAAAATTTAACGGGACAATGTAGTCATCAAAACAACTACAGCTTAT